CTCCTTTTAATGTAAATCACTGGGTTTGGATCTCTACTTCTCCGTGCTTTCCAATCAATTTGGATGCCCTCAAATGGGTTTCTAGCACTCATATTATCAGTTATTCACATGCCTACTACGAATCATAACAATTTAGTGCTCAATTTGAATTGAATACTTTTTTGGTATTCTTATCACATTTTGAAAATTTAATTCACAATCTTTTCATCATCTATTTACAGAACGAGCTTCCATTTTATAGGGAACTGTTCTGCCGTACACGCTGAATCAGTGTGTACATTTATCTGGTTTGGGGCACAGGGTTCAATAAATTTTCGTTGAAGTCCGTTTTTCTCCCTTTACTTCCTTCTCTTAGTTTGAAATGGCTTCAACCTTAAGCCAAACTCGAGCGTCAGCCTCATTTACTTCCTCCATCATTCCTTGACTTCCTACCAGTCCTGAGGAGTCAACTGAATTAATTAATTCTGTCAAACTTCGGACTGCTTAGCCATCATTTTTTGATAGTCCCGAGTACCATCAGCTTTGTTCTGGACGCTATGCTCTCCCAGTGGATGCTTCTCCTGATTTTGATGGTTCTTGTTCCCTTCCGTAATGCCCTGACCGCAACCAGACCAGCCCCAGCACCCGGCACACATTCTCACACTCCCTATCTATCATTGCACCCCCCCAAGACCTCCCCAGGACAGTCTGCACCTCCCCAAGACAGTACCACCACCTCCCCGGGGTACCTACCAAAACAACCTGACGATCATCCCGACACGCATCCTACCACTAACCCCATTAAGTACTAATCTCGATCATCTGCCTCTCTCGACTATATGCCTCATGCCCTCTAGATCCCCTGATGTTCCCTTGTTCACTTCCCGTACCTATTTAAGTAGCTCCGCAACATCCCCAAGCCCTAGCTTGGTATATTTTGAGCACACACCCTTTTGCATAGGTCCAGTCCCTGTCCCTTTGTACCTGCTAACCATACGGATTTCTCTTTACTCTCTGTTTCTCTATCTCTGTTTCTTTCTACTCTTGTCTACTGTCTCTACGATCGTCTATATGGTCCAATATACACTTTTGCTTCATGTCTAAGCAACCCGAGTGAGTCTCCGAGCTCCCTCGAACAATACTAAAGCTCCCCAACGCCTAACGCCTTGGTGAGCCAACCCCCCCAAAACCTCCGTGAGTTCCCCAATTGCTCCACAAGCTTTGGGACCTCAATCTAGGTAGCATTGAAGCTACCCCCTACATCCAACTACATGCCGCTTTTCTGTTACCACCTCCAACACTCGAGGATGTCCACCTCTAAGCCCCAGTTCCCAGGCGTATATCTTCTCAGGAGCTTATACACTCAAGACCCATTCTCTCTACGACCTATTCGATCTTACGTTGACGTTCTAGCGAGTACAACTCCTTCTATGCAATGCGCCGCACATGCAAGCTCAACCGTTTGTACAACCTGCTTGGGTTGTTCCCTGCCTCAATGGTGAGGATGCATTGCAGGCACAAAATGCCATTTGCAACTCCAGGAGCATCACTCAGGCATCCATGCCTGCCAACTTTGTTTCCGACTCTCCTCGCTCTCCCAACTATCATGAGATTCGTGGCCCCGCCACGCTTAATTCTCCGATGACCCAGGACTATCCAGAGTCCAATGAAGAGTGGTACGGTCAACTAGTGCTGACTTTCCCATCTCCACTCGCTTGCATGCTGATGCATGGGAGGCCGCCTTACTTCAAGTCGGACTCTTGGATGAGTACTCGGATGTTCCAAAAGGCATCTGCAAAGGTTTTTGCATTGGTATTGAAGATGTTTCCCTTTCACACACCTTCATTCCTCCCAATCACTTCAAATCCGACATCGAAGCTAATATCACTCGCTCTGAGTTTGTAGAGGAAATCCAACTGGGTCGACTCTCTCCTGGTTTCATGCCTCAACACCTAGAATCCTTAATTGGTCCACTTCACACTGCTCCCATGGCCGTTCTCGAACAGAAGCCTGGGAAGTTCCGAATTATTATTAACCATTCATATCCACATTCCGACCTGCCCTGTCCTTCTGCTATTCACTCTTCTCTTCCAGCTTCGCTACTCATCAATTCCCTCATCAACTCCGACAATTACCCTTGTGACTGGGGTACATTTGCAGACTGCTACTTGCAAGTTGCAGCAGCACCTGCAGGGACTCAGGTGGCTGTATTCGATGTGGATGCAGCCTTTCCAAATGTACCTCTTCATCGCAGCACTTGTCACTTTGTAGCACTTTTTATTGACAACCTCATTTTTCTTGACCTATGTTTGAACTTTGGCAAACACTCCACTCCCGGCATCTGGGGTCGGATAGCAGATGTTATGGTAAAAATACTACACAAATGGGGTGTCGAAGGTGTCGAAGGCCTGTTGAAATGGGTAAACAACTTCATCTTTTTTTGGTTTCCTCGTTCGCGCAACTCTGATGGCACTTTCACTTATTCTTATATTGAATCCTTGGTCTGGTCTGTCGCTGCCAAATGAGGCTGGCCCTGGGCACCAAAGAAGTTTGTTCCATTCTCTTTCTCTGGAATCTCTCAGATAAAACTGTACAGCTACCTCTCGACAAAAAGGTGAAGTATGCTGCTTGCGTCCTTTCACGCACTGAACTTGATGCACTCATGACTCTTGACAAAGCAGAAGAATTAATAGGCACCCTAAACCATGTCTGTTTGGTACTCCCCACAGGTCATACACATCTCGTTACACTCTACAAATTCTGCGCCGGCTTTAAACACTCTCGCTCGAATATGGCAGCCCATCATATTGGTCTCTCACTAAGAGAGGATCTTGCTTGGTGGCTACAAACTCTTGAGGCGGATTTTGCTGGCATGTCTATCCTCACTCTTCCAGACCATATCAACATCTCACTCTTTGTCGACGCATCTACTTCATGGGGCATTGGACTCATTCTAAATGGTAAATGGCTGGCCTGGCAGTTCAAGGCAGGTTGGCAATCACCAGATCAGAAGATTGGATGGGCCGAAATGGTCACAGTTGAACTCACTGTCCGCACCCTAATCTCATGATGCTCGCGTAATCATTCGCTCGGACAACAAGGGTGTAGTGGGGGCTCTCAGGAAAGGTTGCTCACTGGGTTCTGAACAAAATCTGATACTGCGAAAGATTATAGAGCTGATGTGTCATGCCCTGGCTACAACCAGACCAGTCCCAGTACTCGCCCCATGTTGTCATTGTCAAGTCCATGCCTCGGGCCTCCATTCCGCTGCCCGGTATTCCGAAGATCTACCTCTTATTGTAATCTCTCCTTATTGTTCTTTCTCGTTACACATACCCTTTCGTTCTAGTCCCTCCTTATTGTCTTTTACTCTACCCTGCAGGTACTACTCGTATAGCTCCTAGTAGTTACTCTAGCGCTCTGCACCGATGCGCCAATCCGTAGATATAAATACTGCCTGTACGCTACTGTAGTTCCTCAGTTTAATTATCAACTTAGATCTCCCTTCCCGACTTAGCTCTTCTCTAAGTCTTCAGGCTCATCGCCTTGAAGTACTCTCTACTCTACCTTAGGACTTAAACATTCTTTGGTTTGCTCCTCGTCACCGGCGTTACTGCCGCTCCGACCTGGCTGCTACTCAGCTCCTCCCTTCTATACTCTCGATCTCCGGGGACTAACAGCGTAACGGCGGTGTTGTTAATAACTTCACTACTGTCCCACTCAACCTCTGCACTTAGACACCTTGCCTCTGGCACGGTTACATGGTGTACATGATCTTAACAGTCATACATCCTATCCACCTCCTGCATCTCCTCTGCACCTCCCCAAGTATTCCTGATATACCTACCCAAACGTCCTTCACCCCAACACACATACAAAACCCTCCTAACCGCCAACCCCTTTAAGTACTAATCTCGATTACCTCCCTCCCTCTCGATTAGCTGCCTCATGTCTCCAGATGTTCTCTTGTTCACTTCCTGTACCTATTTAAGTAGCGCCGCGATGTCCTGAAGCCCCAGCTTGGTATATTTTGAACACACACCCTTTTGCATAGGTCCAGTCCCTGTCCCTTTGTACCTGCTAACCATATGGATTTCTCTTTACTCTCTGTTTCTCTATATCAGTTTCTCTCTACTCTTGTCTCTCGTCTCTACGCTCGTCTATACGATCCAATATACGCTTTTACTTCATGTCTAAGCAATCCGAGTGAGTCTCCGAGCTCCCCAACGCCTAACGCCATGGTGAGCTAACCTCCCCAAAACCTCCTCGAGCTCCCCAATTGCTCCACAAGCTCTGGGACCTCGATCTAGGTAACGTCGAAGCTACCCCCTACGTCGAACTACGTGCCGCTTCTCTGTTACAACCTCCAACACTCGAGGACGTCCACCTCTAAGCCCAGTTCCCGGGACCTCCCCTCCTGGGCGTATATCTTCTCAGGAGCTTATACACTCAAGACCCACTTCCACTATGACGTATTCGATCCTACGTTGACGTTCTAGCAAGTACAACTCCTACTATGCAACACTACTAGGTTCCGTACTTCTACCTCCCCTACCTACACTTTAGGGACCTCTCTGGACCTTATAGGAACCTCCTCAAGGGTCACATCTCTCTATCCCATCCACTACTAGGTCATTCCTGTCCTCGGTCGCGGTTCCCGTAGCTCCCTTCGAGCTCCAGCCTGCTCCTAGCATGCTACAACATAAATTCCATATACCAAAACCTACCCTAAGACCTATTCTGACCCAGGTCTTACATGATGCAGGAACATCAAATCTGGGTAGAATGCAACTGGGTATTCACTCATGATAACCCAGCTGATGGACCTTCTAGAGGAGTCTTCCCACCCCACATTCTTACTCTCTATCCACGATATTTCCCCAACCATGCCTCCCTACCGCTTCTCCCTACAACAACTTAATAGTCACACTCGCAGCCATTCGCATCCGGGTACCACACCTGTACACAGCGAACTCTCTGACGCCGTGAAGCGAGCCATCCAATCAGCAGTTACCTGCGAAATGTTACTATGGAGGTACAACTATCAAGCAGCCTACATTGACTGGGGCAAAACAGGCAATCTCAGTGAAGCGCATATAGTCGATCTATCTGAGGAAACACTCTGCAACTATGCTGCATCCTTCATGAGCAGAGAAGCTGGCAGTACAGTTAGAGCAAAGCTTGCTGCGGTTAAAAATCCTAGTCACGACCAAGGGCTTTGGTTGGCGTGGTGGCATTCAGTTGCGAGAGGTGCTCAATGGTGTCGAAAGAGCCACTCCCACCTTGTCCTTCCGGTCAAAGCGGAATGGCTCAATCTCCTACATGATGACTTGGATAACACAGGTCAAGGTGCCTTCAACAGCTGTGTCACAGCGTGTGCGGACTTGGTGTTCTATGGCCAGCTGAGGCTTGGAGAAGTCTTGTCACATTCCCCACTCACGACCAACTACAACAGCTCAAAGCTGCTATTAGTTCGCGACCTCAACATCCCTCACATCTCGGACCACAAATCATCGGCCAAACTACGACTTCCTTGTACAAAGACCCACCAGGCAAGGGGCGAATCGGTGGTCCTAATCAACCATGATATCAAGTCTAATGCTGTACGAGCATTATCCCACCACATCAAGGAGAACAACCTGTCACCAGGGGACCCACTGTTTGCCTACTGACTCCCAGACAAGTCGCTCCACGTGTTAACCAAAAAGGAATTCCTGAAGTCTTGCAATAGTGTATGGTCACGCTCTGGGATAAAGCGCATTACAGGTCACTCATTCAGAATTGGAGGCACCACACATTATCTCACCAAGGGTATTCCCCCTGACGTCATTGAAGCCATGGGTCGATGGAAATCAGATGCTTTTCTTAAGTATTGGCGAAATTTGGACACTTTGGCATCCATCCATGTACATTGTTTACACGCCAGACAAGGTCTATATAAACGGATTAACAGGCGGCATTCCATGCCCCACTAGGTACCATTCCATTGAATGATTAAGTTCTGGAATTCTGACCATTCTCCGTTTCCACAGGCTTGGCATTGCTTTCCGGGTTTGTCTGCTTGTTTCACCTCGTTCAATGCGCCAGTGGCTTCACCTGGTCGAGCTGGGTTCAGTCTTCACTTACAGTTTTCCTCGCAACCCCGGAACAAAAGTTTATCCGGCCATTCCTTTCAGCTGTCTGAATAAACTTTCCGTCCTAGCCCATCACAAGCTATTAGTATGATCAGTCTCTATACCTACCTCACTGTTGTATACACCATAGATATGTACAGATATGCATTATTCACGTTTCACTCCGCTACCTTGAAAGATCTCTGGCCTCTGCACCCCCAGATTGTGTGGAATAAATATTCCTATGCTCTTCTCAGCTTAGAATAAATATTCTATCCTCACTCCTTGCCCAACTCACATTGTTAGTTCCTAGCATCTTTAGCCATTTGTATCTGCACAGTGCTCAATGCCCAATACGAAAGTAACAATTCCATCCGGACTCTTCTTTTTTTTTGACTTGTTTATGTTAGGCTGGTGGTAACCACAGCAATGGGGAACCAGAAGGTGACAATGATAATGACAAGGAGGAGCACACTCCCTGCAAACAATGCAGGAGCAAGAAGATCCCACAATCTGCTCTTTTTTCTAATGAACAATGTCTTGTAATATCTTTAACTACTGAATTTCCATTGTCTGACATGGCCATGCCAGCTGAGCCCATCTCTGCTCTCTTAAAACTTTCTACAATTGTTGATTCTGGTTCCACTGATTCTTTTATTGATACTCATTATGTTTCACAAAATTCTATTCCAACTACCAAGATGTCTCCTATCAATCTCCACTTATTTGATGGTTCATTAGCTTCTAAACCCATTAAAAATATGGTGAATATGGCCATTTTGTTCCCTTCCAGCAAGCTGCTCCTATTGCCCTTTTATGTCACACATTTAGATTCATCTTGTAAAATAGTATTAGGTTACAGCTTCTTATTTTGCTACAATTCATTGATTGACTGAGACTCTTGAAACGTTACTTTCCATTACACTCTACATATTGATTCTCCACAGATGTGTGTACTTTTCCCCACCAACACTTGGTTGCTGTTCTGCTATTGGAATCTTTGCTGTTGGTTGTACTGACAATTCTGGAAACACCTTCTGGTGATTCACTTTGCACTCACTCTCACTCCCGCTCTTGGCTGAAGAGGTCACTCCCTCTGTCATCCAAATTTCCTTTTGAACCCATTTATTCTTATCCTACGGTCTTTCAATTTGCTGCTCAACTGGAAAACCCCAAGGACAACATTGCACTAGTAAGTGCAGGAGCTTGCAAGAATGCTGGTATGGAACCTGTTTTACTTGGTCTTGTTACTTAAAGGTTTCACCTAGTTATCTGTCAGAGTAGCTTTTGACAACCTCCTTCCTCACATTGTACCTTTCAGATGTAGTCTGATTGGGGTGATTCATTGATTTGCTTTGTGGGTTTTCTACTACTAGTCTAAAGCACACACTTATTGCTATAGATTGTGCAAAAGGTATAGTTTTCATAACATTTCCCATTTCTTTCTAGGCCCAATATTTATGGTCATGGCATAGTGATTGTTGGCTAATGACTACTTAGAAAGCTATGTGGATAAATGACCCTCAACATTGGTGACAAATTTCTTTGCCCAATCCTTGACTTCAGCTTCATTTGTGAATGTTGACTTTCCAAAGTCTACCAATTCCTGGTTCAAGGCATCAAATGCATTCTTAGCCTTGACTAAATCTGTTCCAAAGATGAATGTGTACCATTCAACACCTTGAGATTTCATGGAAGCATTATGATTATTAACACAGTGAGGATCCTTACTATCAGTGAGTAAATCATAAAGAGACTCACTTAACGGGTCCTTTACAACTGCATTTGGCTTATCCTTCATTAATTCTTGTAGGGTATAGTGTTCAGTGGTCTTCCCGCATTTATTCAGATCTCCCTCATTGTACGTGAATCTACAAAAGACACATGGGGGTCAATGTTCAATGGGCTAGTGGAAAATACTGAAAAAGCTGACTTGAAGTTTGGGTTGGTTCCGGCATAGGCTTTGTCACGGTCAGCCTTGGCTCCATCACCAAATTTAACATTGATCTTATATGTTCCACCTTGATAAGCCTGATTCATGTCATGTTAGATTCTGTGACTCAAGAAATGCCTTGGTCAAATTAATTACTCACAACCAAAAGGTCTGTTGTGGGATTGGGAGACAAGACCATGTAGCAGCCATCTGTCACTCTTGGGATACTAGGTGAAAACTTGAAAGTCAGTTGACTATCTATGAATTAAATGGGAAAAACAAACAAACAGATTATGAACTGGGGCTCCTAGAGATTTATGAATGACAGTGAAGAGTGTAACCAAGAAAAGAATAAGTTTGGGAGTCATCATCATGGAATAATTGGTTTTTTGGTGGTTAGTTGAAAGTCGAGAAAGAGAGACCAGCTCTCTAGGTGAAAACTAATGGAAGTGGGCTGAGATACCTGATCCGCTGAAATTTTTCGTCCAGAGATACTATACTTATACAAAACCATGGTATACTCAATGTCATTGCCTTCCTTTTCAACGGCGCTCCCGATGTGCCCGCGGCGTCATGCCGGTTTGACAGTACACTGATTGTACACTGATGTTACTGATAATTGCCATGGAATCGATATTGTACAGTCCCGTGGTCGGAAAGTATACACAGGTGGGAAACAAGCCTAGCTACGCACCAGAAATCATATCCTGCCCCGAATTGTTAGACCTCATAGTCATGGACTGGGTAAATAGCCGTGCTCTTTGAGGAACACTAACTAAAACTTTCATCAGGTCCAAATCTCTCAAATGTCCTTGCCACTGTGCGAAAGCTGCCCCCATCATCTTTTTCTTCCTGCAAGAACAAACATTGTTGCAGAATCCTCACTCTGGCATGGCACAAATCTGTCTTCCACTGACGCCGAGCGGCAAACAGCACTTAACTGCATTTCTAACACGGAGCATCACATTGCCAAACTCGATAACGCATTAGCTCGTATCAGTAGGATCCTTGATTCAATGAAGGTTCAACGTGATATTCTCATCCATGACAGAGACAACTTGAAGGCTCTGCTTATGCCAATTCGTCACATTCCTAATGAACTTTGGATGAAGATCTTACCTGCTGCCATCCAAGGCACTGATTTGGACTTTTCCCTCTTTCAAGTATGCCGACAGTGGAGAGGGCTGCTTTTTTCATCTTCGCAACTGTTTGACCGTGTCCAGCTAAATCTCGCAAATCCGAACACCAGTTGCGAGAAATGGACGAGGTTCCTCACGGAATACATCACTCGTTTGCATGGGGGCATAATGGTATCTCGGGTTGACATTGTTTTCCCAGAACCGTGGAAGTACTGTGTTTTGAAACAAGGCAGCAGGGAATCTGCTCAATTTATCAGATCATTGAAGAAGCATATGGAATGCATCGCCTCGAGTTCGTACTGGCAGAGCATTACCCACCTCAGGATGGTCAATTACAGTCCCAATGATTGGGACCAGGTGTTTTGGGGTAGTTCGTTTAGGCCCCCTCCACGCTTGGAGTACCTGGCCATCGAATTGAATGAAGTCAACCATCGACGTCCACCAGATATGTCTCCAAGCTGGGACAGCCTTTTTGCGACCTTTAAGGATAGATGTCAGCATCTTTGTTGGATGACCATCCCCGATGGGCCTTTCAACTCAGCATTCGAATCAGAATCAAGAATGGTAGTTGTTAATTTGACCGCCACAGATGCGCACCAAGCAATGCAGATCCTTCGACAACACACGGTGTCTCTCACTGAATTCACCATGCAATCCGCACGGACAGGAAATTTTGTTCCTAATTCAACGCCCAAATTGGTACTTGATCAACTCCACCATCTAGCTATCGAGGCGGCAGACTATGATATCCATGGGATTTTAGGAAATATCACTTGTCCATCCCTTGTTTCTCTGCATCTTTGTGGAGTCCTAGATTGGGAAGTAGTCTCCCAGTTCATTGTCCGGTCTGGATGCACGCTCGAGACATTGAGCATTGGGGTGGCCTCAAAGAGTGGGAATCGCGAATATCATGATGTCGGATTAATCAACATATTACGCTCAAGTCCAAGCATCCAACGTTTCACCTACTTTGAACCCTCTCTTGTGATTCAACATGAGAACTACTATTCAGGCTCTCATATGTCGGAACCTCTTCTCACTGCTCTTGATTGTTCCTCCACCTCCACCTCCTCGGTCCAGACTTCAATTCTTCCTAAGCTTGAACACTTAGTCACTCGCTGTCCATCCAGTCAGCTCAATGCTGTACTTACAATGGCCGAATCACGACAAACACTCAAACTTTTGGGAATTCACTTGCTGGAGTCTCGGCCTGTTCATACGCAATCCTTTTTCCAGTACTATGCTTCGGACAAGATTACAGTAAAGGAGTTTGAATTGAAAACAAAGACATTGAGGCAGCAGAACGTTGGTGTCTATCAAGTACGAATGGCTCCTGGAACGATTAGTACGCCATGTACTTAATTTGTCTACATTTTGTGACTTATATATATGTTCATGCAGATCCTCGAATGGAGCGGTAAAGGTTCCTAAACATAATAGAATAGGAATAAATCAATCTTTGTCTCTTCAAGGTGTCATTATTCACTGCAAGAAATGGACCCAGTTTTTTTACTAAGATCCTATCTGGTCCTCATATTGCATAAATTGTTGAAGGATCGATTCGTGGTGTGTATCCGGGATAAACAAGTGTCCAACGTAGGAAATCGGAAGGATCAGACATATGAAGGCAAAGCTTCCTGAGGCTAAGAAGGATACTCTGCTGTCTCTACACAATGTGAAAATCTAGCATAGTCCCGCCGCGGCGTACATGCTTGCGTATGTTGGTGAAGATAATTAGACTCTTTAGATGAGGAAGACATGTGAACAGGTGTGCAGCCAGTGCATTGAGACATCTACGCAAAACCCACAGTGTGAGCAAAGCGAGCCACTGTGGCAAAGGCACGGGTTGTGTAAGGTGTTCTGATAAATCTATCTGGTATCCTGCTGGTATCAGTAAAGTTGTCGGGCCATACCTGGCCATACAAGAGAGATACATAGAGAGCATATACATGTGTGCCTTTCGGTCAACTCGCCACATTTCGCACGACCATCCTTCCGTTAGAGCTTGTGGATTACATCTAGGACTTCCTTCACACATCTGTACTGTCTCTTGCCTCTAGCAGTCTTGTATCCAAAAAGTGGCCATCATGGGTAAGGCGGTCGAAGCGGTGAAAAAAATATGCATTAGCGACACCTGGTGACATCAGTCCAGCGGGCACCTGGGAAGCTGGATCACCTTTACGCCTCAGTCATAATCCGTTGTCAGATGCATCTTGGTCCTGCCCAGGGGGCGGGCAGCGGAGTTTTCCGTGAAATCAACTGGTGCAGACCCCCCCGTGTGAACTTTGAGTTGCCGACAGCGGCTAGCATCGGCTGTCTTGATTCCATTGATCTGTCTGCAGTGTGCACTGTCGACGACACCTTCGTTCTCCTTGTTTTCCCTTTCATATCAATACATTCTTCCTTAAATCATCATTTTCTCTTTGCTATTATAATGGGCCATAAACAAGCACCTACAAGACATGCATCTGTAGTAATCATTGTCAATAATGGGCTTGCTATCTATTATCTATACAATGTTCCACCATTCAGAACAAAATACCCTGTGATACTTATACAAAGAGGAGATAGGCAGGTACATACAGCAGAGTGCCCAGTTCAAATAAGAGTCCTTATTGCTTACAGTCTTTAGAGGTTCACGCTGGGTTCATTGCACCCTGATCGCACCAACGCGCCGAAGTTCTGATGCCATGTTGCCGTGGCTGGCAAGTCAAAGTTCGCACGGGGGGGTCTGCACCAGTTGATTTCACGGAAAACTCCGGTGCCAGCCCCCTGGTCCTGCCGTTCCGCTCAGCTCGTAAGCCTTTCAGCCGGTTAATAATCGTTGCCACTGAGTGATTATTGTCAGTAGAAGTTTGAAATGAATTTGACTTAGCAGGTAATGATATATGATAGCTTGTAGTTTCTATTTTGTATCACAAGGGAAAACTGTCTGATAATTCTTGAATGAACGTAATCGGGGGATTAACATCAAAACTCAGAAAGTTCTTAGTACGGTAGATTTGGATGACCATGAACGGTGTGACATCGGTCGTAGTTCGGATGGCCCTGACCACAATACATATTTCTCGAAGCTCTGAGAGCTAGGCATACAAGGTATCACACACATATATCTACCTGCTCCATAATTTTGATCAATCCCGTCTTGTCAGTAATCTCGCACTGGGCAGGACGAGAAACCTCGCACATGAGATTCCGCCTGCAAACGAATGAATATCAGGATCGCTACATGATACAGTCGTTGGATGAGGAAGACCATGGCAATCGTCAAGGGAAGCTTACCTATACTAGGTTTTACGTACCCAAATCGAGTTCCACAATGTCTGAAAATCAACAGTGGGAGAACGTAGAGAAAATGACTGCACTGTCATGCCGCGATCTGATATATAAAGCGATATGGATTTGACGCTCACATCCCCGACGCAGAGGCTTGAGGGAAAAAATCGTGCGATATGAATGTGCAGGCTGTACTGAGATAGAGAGAGAGAGGCGATCGACAAAAGGACCTTGCGCGCGTCCCGAGCAGGCCTGGCGATTATTTTGACTAGATAACAAGAACAGGAACTTCTCGATACGGAAGCTCATACTTAGAGGAGGATACGCGCGTAAAGCCCGATATTTCTTAAACTGCAGATGATATTCTTGGAGTGGCCTAATTACGACGTGAAGTAGTGGATGAAATTGTTCAGTCTATCTTGCAAGTTACAGTTAGTAGAGCCAAGCCGAGCGACAGACAAGATGACACACCTATAGCTTCAAAATAGACCGTGTTCATTGTTCCGTCCGTCTTCGCTACTAGCCCTTCTTCGATTTTTTACTTTCAACAAACAGAACGCGTCTCTTTACTGTGAAGCGACAAAAGGGCGATTCGTCAGTAAAGTCAAGCATGAATTCGTCATACCATCACATCCTCAAGGGTACATAATGGCTGACGTACCTTTCGGGTCGTACTTTATTGCAGAAAGTGGCAATCCTTGTCTTACCCGCTGAGTCGTGTAGAAAAAGCCAGTCTGAGCAGTGGATATTAAACGGACGATGAGAGTTCTGGTATAAGAGTTTATCGTCAATTCCACTGTATATTTAAGAGTAGCAAGAATAAAATGAATATACCTTGCTTTAGCTTTCGCCATCGCATCAACGTTTGCCAAAAGAAAAAGATGTTGTGGGAAGAAATGATTTCTGCGCATCTCCGTTCCGGTGGCCTCTAGAGTAAACACTGGCAAAGAGTTGATTGCCGCCGCTTTCACAGGTTTGATTGCTGTCATCGACGACATCGTCGGCAACCATTTTTTGACTTCGACAAGACATTTTCCGACGCTTAGGCATACTTTTGGACTATAATATACTCTGTCGTAGACGATCGCCACGATGAGCACCAATGGCGATACACCTTCAAAGAAAACTTCTTCGAGGATGCCGATGCCCTCGTTGAACCAGCTGGCGGCGAGAATGACTAAAGACGGGTCAACCACCAATGGCACCTCTAATACCAACAGCAACAACAATACGAGCAATGCAGCAACGACGAACTTAACAGCAGCTCCCCGTCCCCGACTTGCGGCTTCAATCCTACGTACCACTTCCAACGCCTCGATGAATTCTACAGCGAGCTCGAATGATTCTGTGGCAGTCAATCCCGCGAACAGTACTCGCGCTGGATCGCCAAGTCCGAGCTCTGTTTCGACCCCGCGAAGCCAAAACACAACGCCTGGACCTGAAGGCGGAGAATCGTTGACTGTCGATAAGCTTGATAAGCTGAACGCGATCACTAGTGCTGGATCTGGCGCTGGTACTGCATCTACTCTTACTAGTGCAGATCTTACTAGTGCTCCCGCCTACAGTGTAATGTCCAGCGCGGCTTTTACCAGCGCTAGCACCGAAGGCTCAGTACTCGCTTCCAGTGATCCAGATGGTCCAGCACCACCCTTAGGTCATCGGGACTCCAAGAAAGACAAAGGCAAACCACCCGTGAAGGGCTATAAAAATATTCCTTCACTGGATGCCATTACTGCGAGGCTGGCGAAAACCCGGGCACTGAGTATCGATGGAACGCCGAAGCCGCCTGAACCGGAAATGATAGAAGATCCGAAGACTCCTGGGGTACACGTTATGAAGGAGGAGCATCCCTTGCAGTATTCTTGGTGAGTCAAACCCGTATCTTTGTTGTTTGATTGGTTTTTTCCCTTCACTATATCAATGATGATTTTCTCTCTTTGCATTGGGGCTTTCGCTTAAAGTACTAACGATAACAATTCCCATAGGACTCTGTACCACGATTCGAAAGCAAAATTCCCTTACACTCCTGCACCTACTTCTGCTAACCCCACTGGCGCTGCACCTCCGCTCGTTCCTCGGGATCGCGACCATTCAGCCACATCAGCGGTAGCGTCAACAAACAACTCTCCTACTGCTGCCTCTATCCCTACGTCCTCGATGTCGACCAACACATCGGCCAACCCTACCGACCCTTCCCAACCTCAATCCCAAAATCCATTCTCCCACGCTCCGGGCGACTACGAAGCCAACCTTACCGTCATCGGCTCCTTCACCACTGTGGAGCAATTCTGCCGCTACTTTAATTGGCTCAAACCCCCTTCGCTCCTCGAACGAAACTCCAACTATCATCTTTTCAAGTCGCCCATCAAACCCATGTGGGAGGACCCTGCTAATGCTTCTGGCGGAAAGTGGGTGCTGACCATGCGGAATAATCCGGAGCTTCTCGATAGATGCTGGGGATGGCTCTGCATGGCCCTAGTAGGCGAAGAACTCGAAGAGGGCGGAGATGAAATCTGCGGTGCAGTCGTTTCGCTCCGCGCGAAAGTGGATCGCATCCAGGTCTGGACGAGGAGAAAGGATGATGTTGAGAAACTCAACGCGATAGGGAAGAAACTTGTCAAGTTGCTTGACGTAGGGGAACAAGACGGGATTGGGCTTGAGTTTCAGTCTAACACGGAAGATAGAGGGGATCGGGAGAAGGGTGTGCCGAGTAAATTTTTGAGTATCCAGGCGGTGCCCAATACATCGTTTCGGAGCACGTTCCAGGGATCGCCTGTGTCTGCTGCTGGCGCACCCGGTCAGCATCCTGGGGCAGGGGGACCCGGTGGAGGACACAGTCATAGTCGGTCAATTGGCGGTATTGGAATAGCAGGCACTGGGGGCTTTACCCCTGTGGATCAGACTGCCCCACCTTCGAGCGCTGGTACGGCGCCATCTGGTGTGAATCTTGGCAGGTTTCTCTTCCACGACATTAACCCAGTTCTGATTTCAATATCTTCTAGGTAATGGTGCTGGTGCTTTTGGAAGCTTCGGTGTGCCGCTTGGTTCAGCTGGGTGGAGGAGGCGCGGTTAGTATAAGAAGGATACTGAGACATACAAGGTGTAGATGTAAAATAATTGAATTACCACCAAGTGTTCTTCTAGTGTACATCATAACTGATCATGCAATTCCAACCGACCTCTATGTATTCAGACTAGCGAATACTTCGTGTACCACTAGCTATTTATTCGAAGTTCTACTTCCCCTTCCTAGATCATACTTCAGAGCGCATATCTATTTTTCCAGCCAAGTTCAAAATAAAACTTTATGTTCATCAGACTGCTTGTCTCTTCCTCCTTGCAATCCCAACTAAGCAACCTCTATCTGTCTGTGAACTACAACGTAGTTAGTGAGTGGACATATCCTAGGGTACTAACCAGCTCACCTCAGTTGATGTTAGAATAACGAACGAAGGAATGCACTCACGATACGTTCTGCATCCATGATAGTTTGTAGTCGATCATGATGAGCGATGGTTATTAGAGTGACATCCCCGTGTAGTTGATTGTGCAACGAAGATTGTATGATGCTATCCGGCTTATAGTCTGCCGACAGAAGAAATGCATCGTGTTAATACTTTGTAAAAAGCGACAACTAGCACTATACACAGACCTATCGCAGATGTAGCAGTGTAGGAATTGAAAGGACAAGTCAGCCATCACGGAAAAGGCCATGGATAATGATCCCTCCCCCACGACACACAGAACCACATACACGCATACCTTCATCCAAGATTAACAGTTCACTTCCTCTCACAATAGCTCGAACAAGAGCAACGATCTGTCTTTGACCTAACGAGAAATCATTTCCGCCGCTCGAAACCATTGTATCAAGTGTAATTCGGTCTTTTCCAGGTACATCCTCCTGGAGGGCTTGTAATCCAGCGGATTCTAACGCATTATTCAATGTAAGGTCATCGTGCTCTCCGAAAGGGTCGAGGCTCTCGGGGAAGAAGCCATTGATGAGCTCAGGCTCTGGACGCATTAGAGAGTAAATGTCATTTTATAAGGAAAGAAGCAACGAACGATTTGGGGACGTTGGATCTTGATGCTCGGAGCATTTTGTAAGACCTCGTAGAGCACCTCTCCTGAGGTATAGATACATCTCAGTAGAGACAACACGAGTGAGCTCTGTTGTCACGGTGGAGCATGAGATATCGTCATCAGTTCAACAAAGGCGTACTTTAGTTGATGGCAGGAAAAATGAACATTTCCTGAACCAGTTCGTCTAACTATCCCAAAACGTTCGCAGTAATCACTGTTGCTCAGAAATAACACAAGTGGTATTAGTACATGCACGAACACCAATTCGTTCTCCGGACCTCACATGGGACGAAATCTCTTGAAGGATTTCAGGTCCATCAGGAGAGTATCTCGCCAACAGATTTTCAACACGTAAATCACCACTCCCAGGCCAATATGCCGGAGGATTCCTGTGTGATCAGATTTTAGTTCTTGTTCGATGGTAAGATAGATGTCAATACGTTTGAAACTGAGGAAGTTGAAGAATAATACCGAGGTCAGTTTGGGATCGACAGTGTACCTTACCTACCGCCTGCGAGTCGGAAGAAAGTAAAGGAAGGGGGGTAGAGACATAGACTTACTTCGCGCTTCCAACGCGTTGAATTAGCCAAACATCGCACTACTGAAGGACACTAGAACCCAAGATAAACGTCTTCAGTAGAGGCCAAATCTTCTTGAACAAAATGAAATGGCAAAAGAAAACACCAGATGTGTTCAACGAAAACCCCGTTACGGAAGCCGACTGATGCAGCACACAGACGAGGCCAGGCTCGTTTTTCATAGACGAAGTACCACGCTAGTGAGCAAGTCAACACGGCGAAAGCATGTCACGGTTGATTCTAACAGCCATCCTAGTCTACATACTTAGCTATCTATGTTCACACCACATCAAGATTGTCGTATCATGATCATCTGCCACCCTCAATAACATCGGAAGAGTTCAAAGTGATGGACCGGGAACATGATCCTGATGATGGAAATATTCACACAGCAATGCCGTTAACATGAGCTACTTAAACTCACTGACATTCACAGCTACACTCTGGTAGCCCGCCTCAAAGCTGTGATGACATTGCCTATTCCCGTCCTTATTGTAATCACATTTCTCCTCCAAGGCTTTGCCTATTTTGATCATATTTCACAGGTTGGAGCTGGTCCGGCTGGCTTGGTATCTGCACTTGTTCTTGCCCAAAATGGCATTCAGGTTCGGATTGTGGATAAGGCTGACCGTTACCATGTGGGTTCACGTGGTTTTGGAGTCCAGGTATGTATAACCTCGATCCTATCCTCTGAGAGTTAATCACATTTTGTCCATAGCCCCGGACATTTGAGCTCTTCAAAACACTTGGCATTGTGGATGAGATCCTGGAGGCATCTACACCAATTCCTACCATGCGTGCATATAAGCTGCCAGGAGGTACCATTCCCGTCAAAACGTGGGACCTCTATGAAAAGGGTGAAGTTTGGGCAGATCGACCATTTGTACGTGGTATTGTCTATTCTCATAAGGTACACTAATGGGGCAAATTTAGGCCAATGGAGCATGTCTCAGTCAAGAGACCTTGGAGGAGATATTGCGTGATAACCTCAGGAAGTATGGAATCTCAGTAGAGCTTCACAAGGGGCTTGTGGCTATCTCCCAGAACACTGATACTGTTGCTGCAACACTTGCTGTTCACAATCATGGAGAGCCCACTGAAGCTACGGAACTTGTTACAGCCCATTATTGTATAGGTGCTGATGGTGCACGAGGTATGTTGATAGCATCAACAAATGTGAACATTGGACCATGGAGTGACCTTCCTTTTAAAATAGGAGCAACAAGAAAATTACTAGGATTAACATTTGAAGGCCAGACACGCGATGCTGATGGTATGGTCTGGGGTGATATTGAAATCAACGGATTGGGAAGTGATGTAAGTCTTGTACTATGTGTGAAGATAAGTTGCTCATTATATGATAGTTTTGGCATATCTGGGGAAAGCCTGGTCAATTCACGTATGTGCTGAATCAGAATTTCTGCAAAGTTTTTAATATTGTTGACTATAACTTGTTAAGTATCATGGCTCGTCCATTGAGCCCAAGTGGAAACAAATTTGGTATTGGTATCACTGGCCAGAACTTTGATCCGACGAATCTCGCAGCTCCTGAAAAGGCAATAGAATTCATTAAGACTGAAACAGGGCGAAATGAGCTTACCTTTGGCTCCTTCTCTTGGTTGTCTTACTTCAAGTATGGTTTCTGATACTTAACAAAATGCAAAAGTCCCATCTTTTGATCCTAGACCTAATATGCGCATGGTGAACAAGTTGCAAGAGGGACGTGTCTTTCTTGTAGGCGGTAAGCAAATGGATGGTTTGTGGTGCTTGTTGGTACTTTTCATAATTTATCACCTAGACTCTGCTCATGTCCATTCCCCAACTGGAGGTCAAGGAATGAACTGTAGTGTTCAGGATGCTGTAAGTAGTTTCTATTTCAATTGGCTTCTTCTATTGAATACTTTTTTAGTCAAACTTAACCTGGAAACTTGCCCTTGTGCTCAAGAATATAGCACCTTTCTCATTTCTTTCAAGTTATAATGAAGAAAGGATACCAGTCATTGCACAAATGATTTATGCAACTACTCAGCTTTACACCCACACTGTGGCTGATAAACTCATCACAGACTCCCCTGAGGTAGCCAAAGGAGATTCAGAGGACAGTACTAAGTCTGGATGGTTCCGCTGGAGGAACACAGCATTGGAGATGTATGGGATTAACTACCGGTTTTCAAGCATTGTGTATGATGAACGGGATGCTAGCTCACCAGACAGCCAGACAGCCTTGGCCCATGCATACACTGGCTATGAAGGCTCAGGAACTCTGAATGCTGGAGACCGTGCTCCAGAAGCACCTGGGATTATACAGGGAGGCCAGGTAACATCTTTGATGGACCTTTTGAGGCACAACCTCCATACTGTCTTGATATTCGGCAATAATTACAAAGAGGCTCAAGCAGTTGCAAATGTCCTAGAAGAAAGATACATCATTCCCATCCAAGTCTTTGCCATCATCAACAATTCGGAACATGGGATGGAGAATGAAAAAATGGGTGTATTGCATGACAGTGAAGGTCATGCACATGCTGCATATCTGGTAGATGGAACACAAGGCCTGGTAGTGGTCATCATCCGTCCCGATTCATTCATTGGTGGTATTTTCAAAGAGCCTGAGGGAGTTTCAGGATACTTCAACAAGATATGTGGGACAGGTAACTGAACTTAATTTCACTATTTGCCTATATTGTGTGGTGTCAGATATATCTGCTTCATTGTATTTACCTCAGCAGATGGTGAGAACCTGATACAAATATGTTATTTAATTAAGTGTTAAGAGGATATTAGTTTGTGAAATACAGGAGCTGCCGAAACAGTATGAAAACCAATGCTGTTTAGCTTGAATGTGGGCTAGTCATGGCAGCCACTTGGCTTCTGGGTTACTTATCATGGATACTTTGTCAATTCATAGAACAACAAATCAGATCCTATCCGTTTATTTCCCAACACTACAGACATGACCAAAATATCTTGCTGACTATCCTGCTATGTAATATGTCAATATTATTTGAGCGAAATTCTCCCTGTTATTCTGAAAATAAAACATGATATGAGATTGCAATCAATACTTTGGATGGTGTATTGTCATATAATCCAAACAGAAAAATGTCAAGGATTGCTATTAGGTATATCTGCAAAACCTGTATTGCTCTATGGAACCCAAATCTGATTACTCAATATTCTACACATATCCTGGTCCAGATTATTTTCAAGCCCTAGATATGCAAAGGTGGGTCATTGCACTGTACCTACTGCAATAGCAAGTCTTCAAGAAATGCTGGTAGAGTAAAACATTGATGACGCTTTGCTACTCTTTCCAGTCAAATCAATGTTCAACAAAATCAAAGAGTACAACCAACTGTGAGCAGGAAAAAAACTCAGGAAAGTAACATAGCAGTAATAGAAATGTATAAGGATAGTTTTCATATTTCAACACACTAAGAAATGATTCCTAATTCAGATGGACTGATAAAATCTTGTTCCAAATTATCTAAGCAACCATTCCTCAGATGTATTGATATATTTTTCATTATTTCTATGCTATTGAGACATTTCATTCAATCTCCTTTGCATTTTTCCACTGGATCACTCCAAGGGAGATTTTTATATAAGGCTTTCTCTGTCTGATGAAAATGCTATATCATGTCTCCATGGGTAATCCATGGGACCATCATTGGAGGTGGGAATAATCAAATGGATATATTTTGACATCAAACAGTTCCCTTCTCCAATCACAGCCAGCGGTACCTAGGAACTGAAAAGACTGATGTTTCTGAGACATCTAGCTGTTGTTTGGTACCAATCCGCTAACTTATATTTCTGATTTCCTTTGTCGGTACAATTCCCTTTGTACCCAAAATGTAGCAGAACAGTGGCATGAGTAATGTTGGTTGATATATCAGGTGCCATCTTAAAAGTCTGATGATTCTTGACCTAAATGAATCAAATGTTTTGCGGCAATCTGAAGGGTACAAGCTAAGCCCATGATCATTACTCATTGCATGACAGAAGTTATGATTTAAAACATAAGGCTGCAAAAGCTATGGCGAATCAAAAGGACTGCCCCAATCTAGTGAGCATCATGTGTGAGAATCATCCGTGACAGTCGTGGGATGAATAAAACCATGAATTAAATGTGTTACCTACCTATGTCATTCACTGCGACATAATTGCAACTTTCCTTTGCCAAAAATAATTGCCAGTGTACTCATCATATCATACCAGACACCTGACTGAATAGTGTCAGTGTTGGATTATTAATTAACTTCATTAATCTTTTGAGGAGTTCATTTGAGTATATATACCGTCGATACCTTTGTTTTCAGCCCAGTTGCTGCATTAGCCAGTTATTACCATGGATTCACAAATGGTATAATAGCTCCTCCTTCCATACACTGAGTATAGCTTATTCCTAATATCTTAGCACACAACAGTGTTGGTCATTGGCGGTGGACCTGGGGGAAGTTATGCATCCACACTTCTTGCTCGTGAAGGAATCAATGTAGCGCTGCTGGAGGCTGCCAAGCACCCAAGGCACGTCTGCTTATTGCTGACACCAATGCTTATAGCTCACACTGGCTGGCAGAGAGCATGTTGGAGAGAGTATGCTGCCGTCAATGCGGCATTATCTCCGTTTCATTGATTTGGAGCATGAATATGACCGTCGAGGCTTTGTGCACAAGGCAAGTAGTAGCATAATTTTGACTACAAATGTGCAAAATAACTTTCTGTAGCCTGGTGCAGCATTCAAGTTTGTCCAGGGTGAAAGGGAGTGTTGTACGTGCACCACTATTGTGACCTTTTAGGCAGGTTAATCTGTTCATCTGACAACAGACACTGATTTCAATATCCTTGGTCCTGATCGGACAACATGGAATGTAGTAAGTAACACAGATAAAACTGATGAAGGGACTTAGTTGAGGCATGCATTTAGCTCCGAGCCGAAGCTGATGAAATCATGTTGCAGCATGCTGCTTCCCAGGGTGTCCTTGTGTTTGAGGAGACTCGGGTGAATGAGGTATACTTCCAACCCATGGAAGCTCATTCATCTCGTCCGGTTTCAGCCACATGGACTCACAAGTCAGGACGTACTGGAAAGATCACTTTTGATTGGCTCATTGATGCTTCAGGCAGGGAAGGCATACTGAGTACAAAATATCTCAGAAACCGGATCTTTCGTGAGGGATTGCGTAACGTTGCACTTTATGGTTATTGGAAGAATGTGACTGCATTCAATGAAGGTGGGCCACGATCAAATGCACCCTGGTTTGAATGCCTCACAGGTCAAGATAGTTCTACCCAATGTTTCTTGGCTCTTGTTGAATGAATTTCTACAGATAAGCTTGGATGGGCATGGTTAATTCCTTTGCATAACGGAATGACCTCGATCGGGGTTGTAATGCATGAGGAGACCTCAAAGTCAAAGAGGCTTGGTCAGCTCAATAGCTTGAAAAATCACTACTTTCAGCAGTTAAAACTGGCTCCAGGAGTTCAAGCTTTGATAGGAACAAAGGGGTATTTTGTTAATGGAAGCATTAAGATGACATCAGATTATAGTTATCATGCTACCTCCTACTCCGGAGATCATTATCGAATTATCGGTGATGCTGCAGGTGAATGCAACCACATGTTTGTGCTATTGCCATTCCTTAATGTTATTGAAAATATCTCAGCATTTGTTGACCCATTGTTCTCATCTGGTGTTCACTCTGCAATGACCGGAGCACTGTCCGCAGTCAGCACGATACTTGGTTCAATGAAGGGGCAAGTAACAGAGCTGGAAGCACAAGCATGGCATGATGCAAAGGTTGGGGTCTGTCAAACAAGGTCAGTACATTGAGTGCAATACAAGAATAACATTGAATTTGGGCTGTAGGTTCCTTTTGATAGTTCTAAGTGCCTACAAACAAATGCAACATGGTGGTGGAAATAGAGCCATAGTTGGAGATATCAACCATAGCCATTTTGAAACAGCTTTCAATCTCTTTCGACCAGGTTAGTTTGACTCCATGGATCATCACTGACTTCATTGGTTGACATTAGTTCAGTTTATCAAGGGGAGAGTGATACAACCTCAACACTCACAGACAGTCAGCTGTCAACTCTGATTGACTTCACACGTAATCTCTTTACACCCACAAGCCATGAACAGTACAATGAAGTACACAGGCGAAATGCAGAGCTCACCCTACTCTCAGGTCCTGTTATGGGCCCTGATGAGCTTGACAAGGTCATTGAGGCAGATGATGGTGATGCTAAAGCTGTATTGAGGAGGATCAATGCATTGAAGATTCTCAGAAATGATACTAGTCCGGAAAGCTTCACTTCTGAGGTTCTCAATGGCTATGTTGTTAGACTAGAACGAGGACAGTTGGGACTTGTGAAAGTATGAAGATTCCTACGTCCCATTCAAAATTGGAGTTTATTACCTTTTGTACGTCGGAGGTGGCCATAAAAGGAACTTTTTTACTTCGAAGCGGCCAAGTTAATGGCTCTACAAGGTGAATAGCAGTTTAACTTGAGGAATTTCTCTACTTTTCATCTAGCCTCTCAGGTACTCCTGACAGTATTCTGGTTACTTGTAAATGTTGTATTTTACACTTTGACCAGTACAAATGCAGATCCTCATATGAACTATACTATCTTTACCTATATATGAATATGAAGTCACAAATAACTTCAGCTATTGATTGATATGAGTATGTCCACCGGACCTTGCATACTTAAGTGACTATATGATTCGAAATATTTACCTTTGGATGGCTCCAGTTTGGAACTGACACTTGTTTCTCATAAATCATTCATTGCTATATACTATATCCGGAAAATTGCGTGAGCTTTAGATTTGTGGTACATAATTATTCTACTAGAACAACAATTACTCCATTGTCCAAGTGAAAGACTTACAGGTTGGTGCCCATAATTGTATGCAAGTTTATATAGGCATCAGAACTGGAATTTAGTGATAGTATCTTCATTGTCTGATTTTTCAATTGCACAGTTTAGGACACAGTAGTTATACAACAATAATCATTAGTGCTGTCAGGATATAAAGACATTCTTGAGGTATAGAAACCTATCTCACAGCAAAGATTATATTTGGGGAAATTTATATGAGGTTCAAATGGGTCCATGAAGATTAAGTGATTCCAATACTATACACTGCAAAACCCAGATGATCATGATAGCAGTCAGAGTATTGAAAGTAACTCTTGGAGGCTGATTTCATTGCTTTTGTGCTGGCAATTGACAGTGGTGACATAGCAAATGAAATTCACACATCCGTGTTCACTCATGCTTGAAATATACCAGGAATCTCATTTCACTACCATTGAGGCTTGCAAAACTAAAGCAGAGACTTCCACTGTAAAACCTGCAACCTTATGAAGAAAGAAAACATGAAACATTTACCTTGTGATACACATATGAGCAGCACTCATGCAGTGCCATTGACCCAGAAAGAGCAGCATGTTCTACTACCAAAAATAGCAAACTCACATAGATAAGGAATTGGGTAATAATGGTGGGATGTTGATGTGCTGAACAATATGGGTCTCAGCAATAATCCGAGATCTGTGTACAATCCAATGGAGAGAGATTCAATTGGTTGATCATATTACATTATTCACACAAGACATCCATGATGATTGATCTGGAAGTCAGATCAAAATGAAATGGAATCACCCACTCTGAAAGCGGAAGTTGTATGCATCAAATCACGATCAAATCATGATCAAAAGTCATGGGTAAAATGACACGCAGTGCCTTCCAGGTTTTCTGATGCATTACAACTCTGAGAACGCGCTCTGAAGTAGAATTTGACCCCCACCTCTAGCGCAACAAAGGTCATGATGTATTTATTGATGTACGTGGATGTACTTGCTTATACTTGACCTATTATCCCTTCCTGAAGTGCACTTTTATCTTGCTTCAGCTCTTTCATGATCCTCTGAGGTATTGCACTGATATCTTTGAGGTCATTCAATCAAATATTCATTTTTGAAATCGGGGACTGCCGCAGCGTTGAAAGGTCCGGTTCTTGCTTGTTATAATTCACCATAGGGGCGATGATGTGCCGTCCAAATATATGGTTTAGGGCAATGAGAGCTGTTTAGAGGAGGCAAAAGGACATTTCAATGCATAAGCTATGCTTGACTGAACTAGGTGACACACCTTTTCACAAACCAAGGTAAATTAAGACACGGTATGATCAACATCAGAAATGATTCTTTGTTTTCTACTAGCAGTAACCCGTGCGATGCGCATCCAACGGCTCACTTACGCTCAGGGCGTTGTTCTGCTCTGCCCACTTGCTTCCTTCACCTGTGATGTTATATTCATGTTAAGACAAAATTTGTCGAGCTAATCGGAATCATTGGACCAAGCAGGAACAAAGAATTAATTTTTTGTAGTGTTGATCATGTGTATGTGTGTCATGTATGTATTGTTTGATTGGTGCCCAAACCCTTGGTGTGGGTTGCCCGATACTCGGGGCTCTTTGTATATAAGCAGAGTGTCAAATGTGTGTTTTTCCAAACGGATGCATGTCTCATAAAAAAAGTAGCATGTCAGCCAACACATCTTCTAATCCCTTGAATGCCCTTGCTAATCAACCTAAAGCCTTGAGGGTGGTGCTCCTCATTGTGCTCTGCTTCACCCAATTCCTGGATGCTTTCAATAACTCCTCTTTTTTTGCGGCAATACCTCCAATTGCTTCCCAATTGCACATTGACAATAGTGATTCAGTTTGGCTTATCAGTGCATATCAACTGACATTTGCGGCGTTCCTTTTGAGTGTAAGTACTATATGTGGTTCACAAGTTGTTTCAATTCTCATGATTTATCAGAGTGGTCGCCTTAGCGATGTTTACAACCCTAGTATGATGTCTCCCAGAAATGTTTTTCATATTGCTTAATGCATTGTAAACAGCCTATGTCTTTGTTTCAGGAATGCTACTCATGTCATTTTGCTCATTGGGTGCGGGATTTGTACGGACTGAGATACCACTGATGGTTCTTAGAGCATTCATGGGACTGGGTAATCTCTTCTGAGACTTTCATGAATGCATTGATGACCTCTTTGTAGGTGCTGCACTAAACATACCATCAGCTATGGCATTGGTCATTTCCATGTTTCCTGATCCTGTGCCTCAATCTCGGGCACTTGCTGCTTTTGCAGCTGGCGCAGCCATTGGAAATGGTGTGTAGTTACTTGCAAGGCCCATTACTCTGTCACTAATATGTAATCAATTTCATAGTATTTGGTTTAATTATTGGAGCCAGTCTTGTCACCTTTGCATCTTGGCCTTGGATTCTGTATTTAGCAGCTATATTGAGTGCAGTGATTGCAACTCTGGTTTTGGTTCTGCTACCATCCTCAAGAGTGCAATATCGATCCGCTGTTAATCAGTATAGTCAGTTCCAACGTTTGGATATTCCAGGAATAGGAATATTGACTGGTTGGTGTTAAACCAATCTCTACATTAGGACATGACTCTCATTGCAGGACCAAGTTGCTCTGGTACTGTTTGTCTTTGCTGTAACATCAGGATCAATTTCCGGCTGGCCCTCTCCTCGAACACTGATTCCACTGGTAGCCTCAGGGCTTCTCATTGTTGTTTTTGCCTTATGGGAAAGATACTTGCCAGAGGAACTTGCTTCAGTGTAAAGTTTGTATTCACACATCACTTTCTATGCTGAGAGTATAAATTAGGCCACTGTCTATTTGGCGACACCCTAATTTTCCAATTCTGACAGCTATTGGACTACAGCCATTCATGTGGTGGGCTTCGGTACAGCTCCTTTTTTCCTGGTATTATCAAGAGGTCTTCCAGTGGTCCACAATCAATGTTGCAATTAGATTGTACGTTGTTGAAAACTATCATATTTGCAATACACTCAGATTATTCTAGCCTTCCTTTGGGTTTGATGTCCTTTCCAGTCATGGGGATTGCCTCAATTTTGCAGCAAAAATTGCCATTCACACAGGTCATTTTGATTGGGGATGTTTTGGTCCTTGTAGGAACATCTCTGTTCCCTTTTGCTGATTCCAAAGAACAATTTTGGCGGTTTGCATTTCCTGGTTTCTTCATTGGCACAACGGGAATGACTATAGTTTTTGCAACCACAAAGTAAGATTGCTAACATCTCTATGTACTACATCTGCCTGACTATTGTGTTTGGCTTTCCCCTCCCAAGTATTGCTATATTTGCTGTAACACCTCCAAATGTTGCAGGAGTTGTCGGAGCAATCTTCATGTGTGCACTGCAACTGGGCTCTGCTGCAGGTGCTGCAATCATTACAGCTATTCAAACAAGTGTTGAGAAAAATCATGGAGGACCAACAAGCTTTGAAGGAAGAGCCGCCGGATTCTGGTTCCTATTTGCATTTAATGCAGTATTAACAACCAGTGCACTCATCCTATTGAGGAGGATGCCATTACAGAGTGAAAAGCTGCACACCTCGTCAAAAGAACCGTATTCATAGAGTTGGTAAAACTGACATAAATCTGTTGACAGAAACTACATTGTTTAATTATTTGTTGAAGGATGCTGAGTATACCTACATTTATAAATGCAAGAGGAATTTGTGGATCTGTAGTAAGTATGTTTTTAAGCTATCTAGGTCAACCTAGTTATGAGGACCACAAAGACCACCTAGGATATACCTTAGTCAAGACACCTGCATGCAAAGCAGTGGGTTTCAAGTGTATTGCATAGCAAAAAATGAGCATAGCCAACATATATTGTAGTACTAACTGTGATGTTGTACCAGACTCTACACTAATGTGATGTCCCAGTGGTCTGATTTGAGGGTTCTTAAAAGCAAAAAGCATCTGGAAACCCTAGAAGTTTGACTAAACTGAGAGCAGATCCTAGCACTGAGAATACCGTAAGCTGTATGCTCTGGGTGTTCTCACTGCTGGGAAATTCTCTCAGCTACTTTTCACTTAATACAGGAAAGCTTCAGAAGCAAACTCAGTGAAACTGACATCCATAAGGACAAATTCTTCATTTCACTATGAGCTTGATTGAATGGAGACAGGGTTAACAATTTAATGAAACAAGTTCTTTTGTTCACATATATAAACATCTGGAAAATCTGCATTTTTGGTGAAGGGTCCAAAAGCAGTTCAGAGCATTTCTGTCAAGCCCATGCCTCGGTGCCCCGCTCCGCTGCTCGGTATTCCGAGATCTGCCGTTTATTGTAATCTTCTTCTTATTGTTCTTTCTCACTACACATACCCATTCATTCTAGTCTCTCCTTATTGTCTTTTTCTCTACCCTGCAGGTACTACACATATAGCTCCTAGTAGTTAGTCTGGCACTCCACACTGATGCACCGATCCGTAGATATAAATACTGCCTGTATGATACTGTAGTTCCTCAGTTTAATTATCAACGTAGATCGTCCTCTCTAACTTAGATCATTAGATCTTCGTCTCTCGCTTTTAAGTCTTCAGGCTCATCGCCTTGAAGTCCTCCTTACTCTGACCTTAGGACTTATAAGTTCTTTGGTTTGCTCCCCGTCGTCGGCGTTACTGCCATTCCGACTTGGCTGCTCCTGGTTCTCACCTTCTCTATTCTCGATCTCTGGGGACTGACGGCATAACGGCGGTGTTGTTAATAACTTCACTACTGTCCCATTCAACCCTCCGCTCTTAGACACCTTGTGGCCTCTGGCACGGTTACACGGTGTACATGATCTTAACAATTTCTCAGTAGCAAAAGCACTCGAAGAATACTGCTTCTGGTGCTTTCGGCACTAGAATCTGCTCTCAGCCCTCAGCTGAATATATAAGATTTACAGGTAAAAGCCACACTATCAGGATATCATATACAAGAAAACATCCATAAACAGGCAACTTCCAAAAACTTAGTATATTAGCACTCTATGGATCTCATCAACACACCCAAAGACTAATGTAGAGACATAATTTAGCATTGGGTTGTACAAAAGAACATGATATGTCTTATGTACAAGACAATAAGTACGTAAGCTTGACCTAATGTGAACCATGTCATGCATTCATTGATTAAAATTGATCACTTACTTATTGCATGTTTTAAGTCAAGATAACTGCCATGGGAATGTCCTCACCAGTGACACTCTGGGTAGACTTGAGACTTTGGATGGGCTCGCTGTGTACAGGTACCCCATTGTAAGTTGGAAAAGATTCTATGTCAGAGGATAATCCCGGGCTACCGTGAAGCCACTTATTTATTCCATGATTTTGCTGAGCTGGGGGAGAATGAGCAGCCACAAATGAGGGAAGAGTATTCCTGTTTTGGGTGGTACTTCCCAGTGTGGATGTAGCATTGATATGTCCAAATTTGATATCCCGGAAAACTCTGCAGGCCATGGAGTTCCCAATAGCAATATTAGGTACTGTGAACATTGCATGAAAAACTGCTGGAAGAGATGCTGGGGCCAAAATCATCCCCATGGTAAGGATATTCCCTCCCACTGTAACACTATGAGAGTTCAGTGATTGTATCCAGAGTGCAAATAGAAATTCACAAACAGATAGTACTCCTGCCCACTTTGTAGAAGAGATTGAGAGAATGCTGGAAGACCTTTCCCCTTGATGAATGATCTCAAACGACCTTTCCAAGAGTCATCATATGTGGTTGCTTCCAACAGACGCCACGAGATAGCAATGAAAATCAGTGTATCATTGACTGTGGATATAATGATTCCAACAGAGCTGAATGGCTTGACACCAGTGTTAATACAGTGATTGGTTGGGCCGATATGAGCACCGCATCTGCAAAACATGTATACTCGCCAGAGCAAGGATACTAGCTGGAGAGCGCTCTCCAGCGATGAAAGCACCCAAAGCAAAAATCAAAGCCTGCTCTGGGTGCTTTCGCTGCTGGGAAGTGCTCCCAAGTGCTCTGAGCTGCTTTCGGCTATTTAGCCGAACATACAGGTTTTGCAGATGCGTTAATGGCAAAAGGGACAGTGATTGAGCCTCCAAGTGTTGCGAGCCAAAGGGAACCAAAAAATATCACTGCAACTGTGTCACCATTGAATATGGCTCTTACTCTAAGGAAGAAAAGGAGCGAAGTTGCTGGAACAGCAACTGCAAAGCAACAACCAATTGCAACCTGTAATGCTTGGCAATTTCCCACAGCACCAACTACCATTATCCATGCTCAATACAGTTATGAGTTGTAAGGTAAGCATAAGCTCACTTGTGAAAACTGTCCCAGTGATGATGTATGCAAAAGCTGCAATCCTAGAGCAAAATTGCTTTGAGTTATATGTTATAGACAAAGCACTCAAGCCTTCACCTTGATATGAAGTACACCAATGTAGGGAGGCGCAGTGCATGCTTAGAAACTAACCGGTAGTCATTCCGCAAATTGAGCAGAATATCCCAGGAAAACATCTGGTTTTATGGTGAACATAAGTAAGAAATAGTGTGGATACTACTCACTCCACATGTAGCAACTAGAAGATAGCGAGAAACTTCAAATTGACTGGCTAATGTTGGTTGAAGATATGCAAGCGGGGTTTCAGCATTAGGTAGGCTCGACATAGTGGAAACTTAGATGTAACTTGATTCAAATCTCATTCAGGTCTTTATGCTTGACAAATATATCTTACACCGCCTAAAATTCCAAACACATGGAAGATCTGCTCCAGTAACAGCTTGATAACTCTCTGTATCTTGTGACGCACATCCTTCCCTTTGAGTATCTTGTGAAATTTTCACATACTTCCGCCACGATAGAAGATTGCATATGATGTGTGGCAGCGGGGAAAGTCTTACTGCAATACTATACTCTTGATGGAAATGTCTCTTACTGTATCACAGACATAGATCATTGGAAAATTTATTGACAGATCATCAGTTGATCGGGGTATGTTCAATAATATCAGCATCAAAAAAAAAACATCAGGACCTGCATATCAGAAGAGATGTGACAGCTCTCCATTGCAATATGGCCTTTGACAGGTAGAGAATACGCCTTTCCGCTGCAATATGGCCTTTGAGAGCATGTCACTCATGACAGTTTCTCATGTCAAAGCTCAGCTGGAAGATACAATACACTAACAGAGTGAATATTTGCAGGGAAATACTGACATCAGGGTATATTTAATGACATCAACATCAAAAGGAAACATCAGGACCTATATATCAGAAACAGCTTCCCGCTACAATATGGCTTTTAACAGCCTGTAGGGAGCATGCCATTCATGATGGTTTCTCGATTCTGGAAGATATGCTAAGAGTAAACACCAATAAGATATTGTCCAAACTCATAATTAGTACCCCGATCATCAGTCATTGAGAATACAATTACTAGCCACCCATCACAGGATAATATAGGCGGCTTGTTTCGGTTTCTTTCATGGCATCCATGATGCTCCCAACACAAGATTTTGAACCAGATAAGGACATCAGTGATGTGAAAGGGCCTTTGAAAGCATTGCATGTGGTCTCCACATTGGCCCGCTTTTTTTCTGATGCAGAGGATACGTTGTAATGTTGAATATGAGTGATTGTTTGGTAATATTTTTCTTTGTAAATATGTAGTTATTCGATTTGAGTATCTTTTTGATGTGCGTTACAGGAAGAGCAACATGCTTTCTCCCTGTGAAACGCCAGATTGCAGCGGGAAGCCATTGTATTGGGAATATGTAATGTAATTGATTGATTTGTCCTTGATGAAATAAGTCCTAAAGCATTGTATTTCAGCCGAACTTGAGACTGGCCAATGGTCCTGCTCTGATGCACTATCTGATCATGTAAATGGGGGAAAAATCTTGGATCTGTTTATATACGCACCACTGAGAACTACCACATAATCACCACAGATGACCAAATATTTCACTTAACCGGTGAAAAGAAAACCATTTCTAGCATACTTTGAGATAACAAGTAGCATTGCCCTCGATGGTTGTTGGGAAGCATCAATATTCCCCCATCACTCTGAGTCATTACCATAAACAATCATTTCTCAATATGGATAATATTGTAAAGCACTCCTACCAACATATCAGGAAAGTTGCTCATTCATATAAAGACATTGAGAAATTTATAGGCTGTAGATATTAATGCATTCCCCACTTGCCCCGTGTATTGTTGGCCTATCCTGCCGTCTTCCAGGGGATATCACGGATTTTCAGTCTGCTTGGAATCTATTTGCAGATGGGAAAAAAAGTGCAAACTCCTCCAAAGCTCCAGACACCCGATTGGAATCTTTCCAGACTGCACCATCAATGCGTGGAGGGTGGATCGGCAAGGAGGGTGTCGAATTTTTTGATGCAGATTTTTTCAACATTCCTTCAAGGGAGGCGCCAAACTTGAGGCCCAATATTCGCTTGGGACTGGAATTAACACATGAAGCATTGGAAAATGCTGGAATTGCACCATCCACTCTTCGCGGTGAAAGTATTGCAGTCTGCATTGGGATGGGGACTGAAGATGGGTGGGATATCAAACAGTGGGGCAATCATGCATCCACTGCCTTCAACTCACAATGGGCAGCCAACAGCGACCCCAGTGGTGTATCTGGCCATATATCCCGCTTCTTTGATTTCCACGGGCCATGTAGCAATGTATCTTCTGCATGTTCAAGTGGAGCATTTGCATTAAGAGATGGTAATTGATTTTTGTTCAGCAATACTTGTTGTTAATGCTTCGAATATCTTCAGGGATCCATGCGATAACTGCTGAAGGAGCAGAAGCAGCTGTTGTTGGTGCTATTACCACTCATTTCACTCCTGCCCCATTCGCATGGGCCGCAGATACTGGTGTTCTATCTCCAACTGGAAAGTCAGCAGCATTTTCTGCCGAATCAGATGGATACTCTCCTTCTGTATGTGAGACCAGGCCCTAGTTTGTAATGCTTGCTGATACTTGACTAGGAAGGGGCAGTTTTCTTTATTGTCAAAACTCTGCAAACTGCTCTACGAGACAATAATGTGATATATGCTGTCATAAACTCTCTGGTTACTGGACATAATGGACACACCAGAACATTGATCACACCCAATGCAGCAGCTCAGATAAAAGTTCTGCAACAGGCCCTGCATCTGGCAGGATGTACGGCTGATGATATAACATTCATTGAAGGTGTTGTGTGCCTTCTCCAATTAAAAAGCCACGCGAACTCATTTCCATAGCCCATGGAACGGGAACACCAATTGGTGATGCCATTGAGGTGGAAGCCCTTCATGAAGTTTATAGTCAAAGGAAAAAGCCTGTCTTTTTATCTTCATCCAAGACTGTTCTTGGCCACTGCCATGCAGCAGCAGCATTTGCGGGTGAGCACAAGACTACATTATCTGATGTCAAAACTTGATTAACAAGATTTAGGTGTTCTCAAAGTTTTAAGCTGTTTTGAGAATAAATATATTCCACCTCATCACTACAGAGCGAGGCCCAATGTTCTAGCAGGTGACATCATTATCCCTCAGACTTTGAAACCAATTCATAGTTCAAGAATAATGGCACAAGTCAATACTTTCGGATTTACAGGTTCAATTGCAACAATGATTATTGAGAACTTCACTCCACAATGCCCTGCTCAGCTAAAAAGGAATCATCCACGCTATCTTCTTCCTTTTTCTGCTAAAACTTCAGCTGCGCTACAAAGCAGAATCTCTCAAACTATGTCCTGGGCACTGGCCACAGGGTGTAGTTTATATGACTTGGCAGCTATCCTAAGCCTATGCCGTGACCATCACCAATCATATCGTCAATCATATCTGGTCCAAAGTCAGAATGATCTCGAGGTGTTAAAGGAGCAATCATTGACATCCCCTCCAATGGTATCTGCAGCATTTACTTTATCGGAGCACTCTGCATCAGCACTGCTGAATGTCGAAAACATTGCTGAACCTGGACTGAAATCTTATCTATCTCTCCCATCGACATGCCAGAAATATGAATGCGGAAATATCTTAGATATTGCTGCACATTTATACAACAAAGGCCATGTTTTACAATTCAATGTCATTTACAACAAAAATGATATTGATACTGCCCTACTCAAAACATTTCCTTTGTACCCATTTACCCGCCAGCTTTGTTGGCCCTCCAACCACATGATATCCGCACAGGGTCCTGCGACATCTTTACTAGCTGTTGAAGACAGGCAAACAAAACTCAGCCAGGTTCAATTTGAGGCCCTTCTGGAGAGTTATACAAGGCCCTTGGCTGATTTTGAGCCAAAGGTTGAAAAATGCCATTCACCACCCAGAAGATTCCTCGTGACTGGTGCAAATGGTATGATTGGCTCGCGGCTGCTAGAGAAACTATTAGAGTCCCAAACATGCATAGTTTATTGCATCATACGCGGGGAGGCTTGGATTCGGTTAAAAGCTGCATTTGTTAAATTCAAACTCAACACCCAGATTTTAACTGATTCATACAACTCACAGTCACTCCATGTGATGTCAACATCAGACCTTTGTGGAGTTCATTTTGGCCTATCTGGAGCAGAATACAACATCCTATTGGATAATGTGGATAATATTGTTCATGCCGCTTGGCTGGTTAACTTCAATGCTGCTTTGGACGAATTCTTTCCATTCATAGATTGTACTAGAAATATTGTGCGGTTTTGCCTCTCATCCAGAAACATGGTTCGAATTCACTTCATTGGTTCATATGCCAGTACATTTAATTATCCAGCCAACTTTGTCCCAGAGCAAGCCCTGGAACCAAACTTGTCCTATTCTTTGATGCAGGTATTTCATTTTTATCCTTTTGATATAGCAATGTAGCCAAAATCCTGACATGAGCACAAAATCTAGGGTTATGCAATATCAAAGTTTTTGGCAGAACATATGTTGATTGCACTACAAAAATTGTATCCCGTTTTCGCATTGTGTGTAATTCGTGTTGGCCAGATTTGCGGTGATACTGCAACAGGGTATTGGCCCCGACATGAAATGATGCCCATGATTATTTCGTCAGCCCAAAGATTGCGTGCTGTTCCTCGTGACCTCCCTGATGTCACATGGGTTCCTTCAGATATATGTAGCCATGCTTTATGGGAAGCAGTGACTAGCATTGACCTTCCACATTTCCACGTTCTGCATATTGCAAACCCCCATCCCATTCCCTGGGCAACTCTTGCATTGGACATTTTCAAAATTCTTGCAGTAAATGATTTTGCTCTTCTGCCTTGGAAAGAGTATGTCAAGTCCATACAAAACCAAGATGCTTCAACCCCAGTCTCGGCACTACTGCCATATTTCATAAATGCTTTGCAGGCTGGAGGCATGCCCACCCACTATTCATCTCTGGCTGTTACAAAGACTATGCATAGTCTTCCATCCATTGGTTCTTCTCAACCACCCAACATTTCATTCCTAAATTTACTGGTGAAAGAGTTGGTTGGTCAGGATGATCAAAAGGTGTCTGAACCTGCACTGTTAGGCAGACCTGTGGTTTTCCTCTTTGGTCCATGGTCTGCAAAATCTGGGGGGCTACATTCAACAATCACCCAAGAACAAATTGAAGGACGTCTAACAGGTATGGCAAAATTCGTTTCTTCCAATATTAATGTGGAAGTACTTAATGAAGGGTAAATAATTATTCAATTTTGCTGCATTCAGTGCTGAGTATGGCTGTGAGTTTAGGTCACCTTTGAAGCATCAACTCAGGGCACTATCTATCCAGCTGGCTGGTGTAGAGCACTTGAGTTCTCAGAATGTCCATCCTTCTGCAGTGATAGGATACTGTTTCGGAGAATATGCGGCAGCAATTGCAGCTGGAATTTTATCCGAGTCAATGGTTGTGGAAATCCTGGTGCATCGAGCATCAGTTGTGCAGCATATCAATGGCGCAATGCTTACTGTGTTCGCAGATATTGCACTGGTGAGGAAGAATTTGAGTAGAATGAAGTCTGCTCCAGCTATTGCTATTCAAGCTGGGCCTCGACTTATAATCCTTTCAGGAAGTGCTGATGGTATTGATGCTGCCAGAGACTTGTTCCACCACCAGAACATCAAAACCCTCCTCATTGAGAGAGTAATACCATTCCACTCAGAGCTGATAGAATCATCTCTGTCTACTCTGAAACTCCCTAAAGTTACTCCCAAGCTCAGCTCAAAAATTGCTTATATCTCTGGAATGTTGGGAAGTATAATCCCTGGCCAGCTCTTGACAGAAAGCTATTGGCACCGCCACATGCGTAGCTTCATTAATTTTCATGAGGCTATGAATTTGGCACATGACAAGTACAAGGGTCATACTTTTCTTGATTTTGGTCCGGGGAAAACTTTGTCAAAAATCATTGGAAGGTATGATTGGAGTGACTTTCCACTACACCCTGTCACACAACTGCCCTCTTTGATTCACCCAACAATAGTTGCCCAAAAACACCTGCAGGTACTTGCACCAGAGTCCTTTGAGCCATCACCAACTTTAGTAGATGTTATGCTGGAGCTCTTGCATACCATACATGGCCACCAGAAGGCTGATAACCTTCTCCACCATTCCTTTTATTCACTTGGTCTTCAATCCTTGGATTATACCAAGCTTTCAGACCAATTCTACATGAGAACTGGGGTCCAGCTTCCACTTAGCGCTTTCATCTCAGATGTATCCATTGATGAAATTCTCAATGTCACATTGAAGCAAAATCAAGTGGTCAGGCCATGATTTGCTTGGTATTGAGGCCTCAAACCTGGATGATCATGATAGCAAGGGTAGTAGCTGGATAGTGCTGTCCACTTCCAAAAATGGTGAATGCAACCTTTTGTAGGCCCTGCTTTCAGTGCTTTTGGAGATACTCACCAGCTATGAGAATTCTGCATCCTGATGAATATACCTACCATGCATATGTTGGATTTCGCTCATTTGTACCTGCTACCTATACAGATTTTCTCTTTACTCTCTGTTTCTTTATCTCAATCTCTCTGCTTCTGGTTCTCGTCTACGCAATCCAATACACGCTTTTACCTCATGTCTAAGCAATCCGAGTGAGTCTTCAACCTCCCTTGACCAATACTAAAGCCCCCCAAATGTCTATTGTTTTGGTAAGCCAACCTCCCCCAAACCTCCCCAAGCTCCCTAATTGCTCCACGAGCTCTGGGACCTTGATCTAGGTAACATCGAAGCTTCCCATTATGTCCAACTACGTGCTGCTTCTCCGTTACCACCTCCACCACTACCCCCGCTTCCCGGGACCTCCTTCCCAGGCTCACACTCTATTGGGAGCTCTCACGTCTGAAGCTTACACCATCTACTAGCTATAGCAATCCTACGTTGACGTTCTTAGCTATCACAATTCATACTATGCAACACTCCTACGTCTTCTAGCTCCCAGTTACATCTACTTTCACTGGTTATCATCTTAGGGACCTCCCTGGACCTTCTAGGAACCCCTTCAAGGGTCACATCTTGCTATTAGAGCTACTACCAGGTCATTCCTGTCCTTGGTCGCGGTTCCCGTAGCTCCCTTCAAGCTCCAGCTTGCTCCTAGCATGCTACAATGTTAACCTTTCATACCAAATCTACCCTTAAGACCAATTCTGACCCAGGTCTTACCAGTTGATGGTGGCAGCTGCTTGTATGGGTCCCATGGGGAGTTCACTGCTAGGGTTCTCAGGGGTGTGGGGGTGGGGGGCAAGGGTCCCAGCCCAGTGTTGTAATGTTAAGATCATGTACAGTGTGTGACTGTGCCAGAGGCCACAAGGTGTCTAAGGGCGGAAGGTCGAATGGGACAGTGGTGAAGTTATTAACAGCACCGCCGTTACGCTGCTAGTCCCCGGAGATCGAGAGTATAGAAGAGAGGAGCCAGCAGCAGCCAAGTCAGAGCGGCGGTATCGCCGGTGACGAGGAGCGAACCAAAGAACTAAAAGTCCTAAGGTTAGAGTAGAGAGTACTTCGAGGCGATGAGCCTGAAGACTTAGAGGAGAACTAAGTTGAAAAGGGAATCTAAGTTGATAATTAAACTGAGGAACTACAGTAGCGTACAGGTAGTATTTATATCTACGGATCGGTGCATCAGTGCAGAGTGCTAGACTAACTACTAGGAGCTATACATGTAGTACCTGCAGGGTAGAGTAAAAGACAATAAGGAGAGACTAGAATGAAAGGGTCTGTGTAGCGAGAAAGAACAATAAGAATGAGATTACAATAAAAGGTAGATCTTGGAATACCGAGCGGCGGAATGGGGCCCCGAGGCATGGACTTGACAGTATCCCCCTCTTAGGCTTGAGCCCTCGAAAGCCGTTAGCATCGGGAATTATTATTAGTCACCAGAGAAAACATTTTAAAACCCGTCAGCATTGGCATTTATCCCTTTAGTCAGCGTAAAAATTTCATTGGTCCACTGTAAGCCGAGTACAATTCAAAGGAAAATTTTAGCTGGTCCGTGCGCGGTTTTTCCCTATAAAAGGGCCAGGGTTTTGCCGTTGTGGGCCTAACTTCTAAGTCCCTCAGGATGTCGACCAGCCGGACTACTACCACCACCATTACTCAACCCACTGCCAGCACTTCTTCCCGCCCCGCCAATCCCCCGAGTCCCGGCGTCCCTGCTGATGAAGATGAGGACAGCATCATGCAGGATGCCTTAGCTGGAGTGGAGAGGGTGAAGGCATGGAAGGCGGAGGAGGAGGCCACTGCAAGGAGAGCAGAAGAAGAGAGGAAGAAGAAGGAGGCTGCTGCTTGGGCGAGTGCAGGAGGGGCGAGATCGGGCCACTCGGGCTCAACAGCAGAATGCGGATGTTGTAGAGCAACGGCGGCTGCTAGCGGAGGCTGCAACAGCAAGAAGTCAGCAGGGCACTTCGCCCAGTGAGATGTTGGTCTCCCCTCGGAGGCCAGTGGTGGAAATTAGAAGGGAGAAAGGGAAAGGGAGAGAGAAGGTCCAGGCGCAGGTAAGTGCTCCGAGTCTTCTTTCTTGAAGATGTGCTTATCCTCTTTCTTTTCAGCCAGTTGGTGGAGATCCGGATGACGGCAACGACGACGACAATGATGAGGAGAGGGAGCCTTGTGAGAGGTGCAAGGCCAAGAAAACCCCTTGCCTGCAGCAGGCTGGCAAGTGGAGTTCCATCATCTGCAAGCCCTGCCATGACTCCAAGGTGCGGTGCTCCTTTTTGGGGCGGCCATCGATGGGCAAGCGGGAAGGCGGTTCCGGTGAGCGGATGGCTGTTATGGAGAGCCAAATGGTGCAGGGTCTCGCTGACCTCCGGGAACTGCGGGAGGCCAACTCAAAATCCCACCAATACCTCCGCCAGTTGTTGAGAAGACAGGAAGGTGACCATGCCCGACTTATAGCCATGGAGATGAGGATGGTGATGATGGCTATGGGTGAAGGACCGGCGATGGCGGGACCATTGAGGAGGATTACCGAGCAGCCGAGACCGCTGAAGAGGCGGAGGATTGTGGAGGAGAGTGAGGAGGAAGAAAACAAAGAAGAAAAGGGAAAGGAAGTGGAAGAAGATGGAGAGAGAGATGAGGAGGAGACGGTGCCAACCGAGGCGCGATCGGAGAAGGGAAAGGAGAGGGCAGAGTAGGACATGGACTTCGAACATCGGCCTTCGGCCTCTTCTTGTACTCTTCTTGCCCTGTTACATATATTTTCTTGGGTTTTTGTATATAAAAATATTAACGCATCTTGAAAATGAAAGCAAACGGGCCGCAAAGCCGCGTAAGAAATGATTAGTTGCAGTATAAGTAGTCGTAATTGTGAGTAAAAATATAAGTAAGAAGGAGAGAGTAAGAAATAAAAGGAAGAGGATAAACACTCAGTTTGCTATCATTGTGTCTACCCTCTTGATGCAACGAAGTAAACTTCGGCGGAGAATGGAATTTTGGGGAAAGGAATAAAATGATTTTTTCTGTGATCAAGGTCCAGGCTTCTGAGGGTATCGAGCGTGGAATGCGGGTACCAATTCATCAGCAGAAAACCGGATGGATACGGCGAAGATAGTCTGGGAGCTTGAGCTTGTAAGATAAAGTACCAGGTCAACTGATGACCTTGAAAGGACCAAGATATTTTTCTGAGAATTTTTCAGTAGGACGAGTAGAGCGAATGTGCTTAGCAAGAACAAAGACTTCGGAGCCGATCGGGAACTCCGGGTGCGAGATTCTTTTCCTGTCAGCTTGTTCCTTGTAACGAGATTGAGCTAGAAGGATTTCCTCTCAAAGAAAGACGTGGAGTTCATTGAGATTGACAACGAAGTCTCTGGCTAGGTCAGATTTCATGTCAACCTTGGGCCGAACGGTGATATTTGGATGGTATCCTTTGTTAGCGAAGAATGGAGTAATACCTGTGGAAGCATTAGGAGTGTTGTTATAGGCGAATTCGGTGATCAGAAGTAAGTGCGACCAGTCATCTTGTTGGTAGGAGCAATAGATCCTAATGTACTGCTCGAGAGTTTGATTGACATGCTCAGTTTGCCCATCGGCTTCCGGATGATATCCAGAGGTATAATGAAGTTCCATAGAGAGCGCTTTACCGAGAGCCCGGAAGAACGCCGAAACAAATTCGGAACCACGATCGGAAGTAACATGATTAGGAACACCATGCTTAGAGAAGACGTGAATAACGAAAAGCTCAGCTAGTTGTTCAGAAGTAATAGTGTTGAAAGTTGGAATAAAGATTGCTTGCTTGGATGATCGATCCACGACGACAAGGATAGCTGTATAGCCATTCGACATTGGCAGTTGCTCAATGAAGTCCATGGAGATGGAATCCCATGGTCGGACCGGAACCGGCAAAGGTTTCAACAAGCCGTAAGGCCGATGGCGCCGGGGCTTATTGTGACCACAAGTTGTGCAGGAAGTAATGTAGTCACGAACAAAGTCTCTGACCTTGGGCCAGGTGTATTGACGACGTACTGCCTCTAGAGTTCAGTTCTGGCCAAAATGGCCTGAGAGTGGATGATCGTGAAAGTAGCGGAGGACTTGAAGGCGAAGGTCGCTGTGATTCGGAACATAAATATGGTCATCAAGGCGTAGTAACCCATCACTACCTAAGCTCCAATGTTCATTGGAAGGATCTTTTGCAAGTTCCAAACCAACAATGGAGCTCGGGTCCTTCGGAAGAGCGAGAATGATAGCTTGATGCAAAGCCTTGATATCCATGACAATAGAAGCTCGGAGCATCAGGCCTTCCAAGAAGGTAGCTTGAAGAGATGTAGTCAGTTGCTCATTAGTGAAGATAGGTCTGAAGTTGTGAGGGTTGACTTGCACGTAGCCGATATCCCCCTCTTTGGGATACACATCCCAGCATCTAGTTATCGGATCTGGTTTTTCACCGAGCTTCCCCGGTCGGAAGCGAATCACCATATTGAATTGATGCAGGTATTCTGACCAACAGACCTGACGACGGGTGAGAATCTTAGTAGTAGAGAAATACTCAAGATTCTTGTGATTGGTGACGACGTCCACCAGGTCGCCGGACCTTCCAGATAATGGCGCCAAGCTTTGAAGGCTTCAAAGATGGTGAGGAGCTCTTTGTCGTGAGTGTCGTAGTTGAGCTCCGCAGCGTGAAGAGTTCTGGAAAGGAAAGCTAAAGGATGAATTTCACCGTTGACAGTCTGAATGGAGAGAATTGCCGCAATGGCATAATCGGAAGTCTCGGTTTCCACGATGATAGGATGGTTGGGTTCCCAGTGAGCGAGAATAGGTGCAGAAGTGAAAGCAATTTTGAGGTTTTCAAAAGCCTCTTGACAGTTGTTGTCCCAGATCCAGGGAGCGCCCTTCCGGGTAAGCCGAGTCATCGGCACAATGATATCACTATAATTATAAATAAAACAATGATAGAAGTTTGCAAAACCCAAAAAGAAGGACTGAATGTCCTTAACCTTCCTAGGAACAGGCCATTCCAGAATGGTCTGCACTTTCTCTTTGGACATGGTCAATCCATCAGGAGAAAGAATGTAAACCAAGTACTCAACAGTATCCATATTGAACCCGCACTTGTAACCGCCGAAGAACTTCCTTGACATGTTCTCAGTGTTCCTCCGGTGTGACGGAGTAAATCAGAATGTCATCGAGATAGACGATGACACAAACATCTAGCATGTCAGAGAAGATGTCATTAACAAAACATTGGAAAGCAGCAGGTGCGTTCATAAGACCGAATGGCATAACCTTCCATTCGTAAGAACCGTAATGGGTCCAAAAGGTGGTTTTCCATTCGTCACCTTCTGCTATTCTGACTAGATGATAAGCGTGAGCGAGGTCCAATTTCGTGTAGATTTTAGCTCGTTTTGGAGCGTT